GTTAAGAAGTGTAACTCAGTGGTAGAGTTGCTTAGCAAAACGTTTTTAAAAGGTAGGAGTAGTATGTGCCTATAGCCCCATTTACTCAAGAGGTTGAGGTAGGAGGACCAGAAGTTTAAGGATAGCCTTGGCAAATTAGTGAGATCCTGTCTCAAAAAATAAAAAAAGGGGCTAGGGAGCTCACTGGTAGAGGGTGGTCTTGGGGTTCAATTCCCAGCAGGCCAAAAAAAAAAAAAAAAATTTTTTTTTTAAATTGTTTGAAAAGTTGGGCCAGGTGTGATAGTGTATACCTGTAATCTCAGCACTTGGGAGGCTGAGACAGGAGGATCACCCCAAGTTTGAGGCCAACCTTGAGCTACACAGAAGAGTTCAAGGCCAGCCTGTCTCAAGGGAGACCCTGGCTCAAAAAGAAACAAATCGAAAAACTTGTTACAATATTAGAAAACAATGTAACCACTCATTCTTAAACTCTTTCCCCCAACCTAGGTTCCAGTAGTCTAGCTGCAGGAAGCCAGGGAGCTAGCTATGTCACCCTCCCTGGTCTGGAAGGGGCCCTCACCATCTCGTGGCAGGCTCGGCTCTTGAGGGCCATGGCCCCATACTTGCTGTAGCACGTCTCTCCACTGTTTCCTCCCAGCACAGCCATGTCAGTGCAGGTGACACAGAGCAGTCCTGTGGGGAGGGGCGGGCAGTGAGGTCCCTCCAGACACCCAGCCTGCCAGCCCTGCCTGCCCAGCCTTACCTCCTTCACTCACTGCCTGCACAGCAGCATCCAGGAAGGGGGCAGGGCTGCCGTAGGGGTCCAGGTCTATGACATCAAAGCGCTCAGACACCTTCTGGTGCTGGTACATCAGCATCCTGGGTGCAGGGCAAGCAGGTCTTCAGCATCCTACCCCTGGGACCTGGCTCTATCCCTACACATGTGAATTCCTACAGCACAGTGGCCTCGAACTCTGGGGCAAGTTTCCCAGGTTCAGGTCCTGACTTGGCCACTTGTTTTTGTGGGGATTTTTTGAGTCTCACCATGTAACCCAGAGGTTGTCCGTGAAATAGCAGTGATCTTGCTGCCTTAGCCTTCTAAGTACTGGGATTACAGGCATGTGCCACAGTGCTGACTCGGCCATTTGTTAACTTCATGATTTCACCCCTAGACAGGCCTCAGTCAGCCTAATGAGATACATGTGCTAATCAGGAGGCTAAGGCAGAAAAGTTTCCAAGTTTTTTTTTTTTTTTTTTTTTTTTGATACTGGGGATCAAATTTAGGACCTTGTACTTGTGAGACAGGTGTGGCGCCACTAAGCTAAATCCTTGGCCCTAAATCACCAAGTTTGAGGCCAGTCTGGGCAACTTAGTGAGATTGTCTCAAAAGAAAAAGAAAGAAAAAAAAAAGGACTGATGTTAGAGCTTAGCAGTAGAATGCTTTTTATCTAGCATGCATGAGGTTCAGTCCCTAGCACCAACAAAAACAAAACTTCATTCTACTCATCCAGAACCTGGACAATGATATAATAACACAGGACATACAGTTGCACCTTTCTATCCATAAGGAGGTGGGCCGTATGAGTTCGAGACTAACCTGAATTACATATCAAGACCTTGACTCAAAAAAAAAAAAAAAAAAAAAAAAAAAAAAAGAGGTGGGCTATAAGCTCTGCAGGTTGTAGTCTGCTGACTCTTGCAAAGACCACAAATTCTAAACATTACTGATCCACACCTGGCACTGAGGATGGTGCTTGGCACACAGGGTCTCTGGATATACACAGGCTTCACTAGAATGAATAAAAAGAGCACAGAAGTTATATCTGGGGCTGTGGGTGTGGCTCAGTAGTAACGTACTTACTTGCCTAGCATGTGTTGAGGCCTTCAGTTCCATCCCAAGTACCACAAGACTTTTTGTAATAAAGAATTAGTCTGGGACACAGCACTACATACCTGCAATCCTAGCACTCTGGGAAGGTGAGGCAAAAGGATCACAAGTTCAAGTTGCCTGAGCAACTTGTTGAAATAAAAAATTAAAACAACAAAAAAAGGGCTTGGCATATTCCTCAGTGCAAAGGCCCTAGGTTCAATCCCCAGTATTGCAAATAATTTTTTTTTGTTTGTTTGTTTGTTTGTTTTTTGAGACAGGGTTTCACTATGTAGTTCAGACTGCTCTGGAATTCAATGTATAGCCCAGGCTGGTCTTGAACTCGCAGTGATCCTCCTGCCTCAGCCTCCCGAGTGCTGGGATTACAGGCGTGTGCCACCACGCCTGGCTGCAAATAATTAATTTTAAAACAACAACAAAAAAGTCCAAAATGGAAATCAGAGTAGTACATTACATACCACATGACCTTGTTTTGGTGCTCAACCAGCCTCATGAAATTATATTATCTAGTGATGTTACAGCTGTCTTAGTTTGTTTGAGTACACTCTATCATGTTCCTATAACAAAACTGTGGATGGACATATTTCTCAGAATATGTCCCTGTCTTGACTGTCAGTGTTTGGACTACAAATTATCTATTATTTAAATACTGCTGTGACTCCTACAAAACTACTGTTCTTTTGACACACAAGGCAATCAGAGTTCCAAAAGGCTAAGCCAGTCTCCTAAGATCATATTTTGAGACACAGCCAGAATTTGACCCCAGGCAGCGTTACTCCAGAGTGCACCTTCTGTCACTAGGCATTGCTGCTCAGAACCTACCGGGCATCTGCCTGGCTGGGCTGGACCAGATGGGCCACATCATTGAGCTGCACATTACGTCGTATGAGATCCACGGCCCGTGCAGAGGCATCATTGGCAATCACTGATTGAAGCCCAGGCACCTCTCGGGCGAAGCGAATGGAACGAAGGCCAGAAGCTGCCAGGCCCTCCAGCACCAAAAGGCCTTCCTGTTGGAGTAAGCAAGGACCTCCATACCTCCACCCTCTTCTGAGCCCCAGAGTCCCACCACCAATGTCTTTTACCTCTCCTCGTTTCCCCCTCTGTCCCCTATCGCTCACTGGGTTCCAGGGCTGACACCTCCTTTGCTCAGGTCTTACCTTACAGATCTCCCCCACAACCGCTGTTCGAGGTTGGTCTCCAGGCAACCGGTTTTCACCCTCTTTTAGGTCAACCTTTTCCTTCTCTTCCTCTGACAAGTCCACAACCACCTTCTGGATGTCCTCCCCTGGCACCTTGACTGCAGCCACCAGAGACACAAGTCAGGAGATAGCAATGCCTCCTCCCCATGCCCCAATCTTCAGAATACTGAAGTTTCAAGAAAGACAGTCTTTCCCAGAAACTCAGGGCTAAGGTGGAAGGAGACCTATGAATCTGCTACGTGGCTGAAACCTGTCTGGATCTGGTGGGGGTGGGGTCAGGGGGTAGTGTTTGGTTGATTTTCCCTTTCCCAGAAGCCTGGGTCTCCACTCACTCTGGATTCCTTTGGCCCCAAGCTGAATTCGAGCAAACTCGGTGATCACAGCACACCTGCCAGGAGATGGTGGGTTAGCCCTGGTAACAAGGATGCTCCCTTGAAGCTCTCCACAGCACAGGAACCCTCCCACCCCCGCCCTTCCTCAAGGTTGTTGCCCCACCCTGACCCTTCCAGGTCACTTCCCAAGGTCTCAGCATTGTAAATTCTAAAGAGTAGCCCCACCCACATAGTTAAAATGTTAAATGCCAAATCTGCCTTCAGATTCACAGAATTCAGAACATCTGATGACCTTTGTAACTCCTTTTAGTTCTATCCATTAACTCACACAAAGAATAGGAATAGTTGTGAGGTGTAACTTGCAGAAAAAACAACCGCTGTCTAGAAAGAACTACAGGAACTAGCCCCATGAGGTCAAAGTCCATTATGATATTCCCAAGTAGAAAGAAGACAAGCCTGGATGATGAAGACCCCACTGTGTAAGTACTCTTCCAGCCCTCTGCCCCACTAAGCCTCCAAAAGTGGAGCTTTGAGGCTAAGCCCCTCCATTTTCCAAGTTGCCGGCTCCTGAATGAACTTAATTATTTCCTTTCAACTCTAGTGTCAATAAAAGGCAGCTGCAGGCAGCCTGGACTTATTTCGGTAACATCTTCAGTCTCAGTGACCCACTCCCCTCTGCCTGGCTGACCCCTGACCCTTCCTCACGTCAGGTCCCGATTGAACTCCTGCACTGGATTGTAGAAAACTTCGTTGGCGCAGGGGAAGACGATCGTGGCGGTCCCCTCGGTGACTATCGTCTCTTGGGCCGCAGGTGGACGCTCTTCTCCTTGGGACCCGGCGTCATTCCCCATCGCTCTTAGGTTCGGCGGCCCTTGGGGCTGCCCCTCCATAAACTGGGCTCTTGAGAGGCTGCGAGCGAAGCGGAGAGTGAGGTTTAGCCAAAGAACGATCTTCGCATGGGACATCCGCAGAGGCCTCTGCCGGTCAAGCCTAGTTCAAGGGGCCGAGGAGGGTAGAGAAAGAGGATCACATAACTGCATTTCGGAGCGGGATGGCCTACACATCTATAAAATAAGGACTAAGCAAGCCCCAGCGGCTTCAGGAAATCTATGCTCTCCGTTTTCGGTGGCACTGATCCGTGCGGCCCTGCGGAGCCGGAACCTCTCACGCGGGACCGCCACCTGTCCATATTCCTCCCGGAACCACCCAAACCCTGCTCACCTCTCCGCACAGAAAACCGATTTAGTCTCGGTGCACGTTTCACGGTTCAGAACCTGGGTGCCGCCATGTTGGCATGGATCACGTGACGAGATTTAGCCAACCAATGACTCGACTCACGGTGGGCGCAAGCACTCAAAACTCACCGCAAAAAAAAAAAAAAAAAAAAAAA